TTAGTCAGAGTTAACTCTACGGAATAATTCTACATATTTCAACCAGGTGCTATGACAGCAGTCCATGTGGTGGAAAATATTATAACAGAAAATATTATTACGTATTATTACTACGTAATACGTATTATTACTACGTAATACGTATTATTACTACGTATTATTATTACGTAACAGAAAATATTATTATTACCTAACAACATAACATTGTGATCTCGGCGCTGAAGTGTAGGCCTGATGTGGCCTGTCGCCGATTCTTACCTTTTTCGTGCCTTGTTCACAGAAGATCTAATATCGTGTCACTAAATTTTAATCATTCTGTGGTTGTAAATGAACAAATTTTAACATCTTAATGCCTTTTAATGCAAGTTTTCATTAGAATTTCCAATGCTTTATGAGAATTCTTCCCAAAAAGCACAACATAATTATTAATACATAGTGTAAATTTTATTAAGTTAAATCATTAATATTGAAGAATAATTAAAGAATATCATGGCTTAAAATAACAAAAACACTAGATCACATCATTGGAATATAAAGAAAAAATGAAAATATTCCCTTGATAATTGGATATCCGTTCAAGTTCTTATAGAAAATACAGGATTATTTCCCCCATGGACGCAATTTCTACTGAAATTACCGATTTATTTACTATAAAAAATTTTACTTACAATAAGAGGAAAGTTAAAAAGAATTGTTGTAAAACGATCACGTTATACGGGTAAAATTATTTTATAACTTTTGAAAAAATTCACAATTATCTTCATCCACAGCATTTATTTGATTTATCTGCAGCAATGCATATNTGCACAGTTTAACCAGTCACAGAATTTCCAGTTCACAGCAGTGCACAGTTCAACCAGTCACAGAATTTTCAGTTCACAGTAGTGCACAGTTCAACCAGTAACAGCATTTACAGTTTTCAGTAGTGCACAGTTTAACCAGTCATAGAATTTCCAGTTCACAGCAGTGCACAGTTCAGCCAGTCACAGCATTTACAGTTCACAGCAGTGCACAGTTCAACCAGTCACAACATTTACAGTTCACAGTAGTGCACAGTTCAGTCAGTCACAGCATTTCCAGTTCACAGCAGTGCACAGTTCAACCAGTCACAGAATTTCCAGTTCACAGCAGTGCACAGTTCAACCAGTAACAGCATTTACAGTTTTCAGTAGTGCACAGTTCAGCCAGTCACAACATTTCCAGTTCACAGCAGTGCACAGTTCAGCCAGTCACAGCATTTCCAGTTCACAGTAGTGCACAGTTCAGCCAGTCACAACATTTACAGTTTACAGTAGTGCACAGTTCAACCAGTCACAGACAGTAGTGCACAGTTCAGCCAGTCACAACATTTCCAGTTCACAGCAGTGCACAGTTCAGCCAGTCACAGCATTTACATTTCACAGCAGTGCACAGTTCAGCCAGTCACAGAATTTCCAGTTCACAGTAGTGCACAGTTCAACCAGTCACAACATTTCCAGTTCACAGCAGTGCACAGTTCAACCAGTCAAAACATTTACAGTTCACAGTAGTGCACAGTTCAGCCAGTCACAACATTTACAGTTTACAAGCGTGTACATTGAAGGCACATTGTTGTTCGTTCACCGCAGCAACACCCTTCCTTGTCATTAAAACATCGCTGAATTCGTAGCCCTCCGTCACCGGAATTTAATTAAAAATGCGTTGTGCGTAAACCTGCTTCCTTCTCTGGTGCGGGCGCGGTGTCCATGTTGGGTTTTATAGTTATTTCATACTTAGATAGATATTTAAGGATAACATACAGTTGAAGAAAAAAACCGAGATCTTTAGAGTTGATACAGTATGCGGAATAATGTGAAGCATTAGAAAAAATTATGAGTTCACGTACAATCTTTCGTGTGTTTTATTTGGTGCTCCATACTGAAAACTTCTTATGACATTAACATCGCGTTAATGTGATCGTTAGTGAAATAATAAAAATAAAAAATAATAATAATTAAAAGAATAATTACCACTAAATGATAATGGACAAATTGATACTAATAAGAATGCAATTTGCTCTTTAGTTAAACGAGAAAAATAAGCTAATCAACTGTCGTGTTAATCAGAATCAAATTTTATTTATTTATTTTTAATAATGCTCGTCATTATTGTATTTTAGCAAGAATTCAGACACAGGATACCTATACCGCTGTATGAAACAGGATATTTATGGTATCCTATGGTAATTATGGCACAGGATTATGATAATTTAGAGCAGCCCATTCCACACCCTGAAGTATTGAAAGACTTTGTCCCAATAGCGATGCACATCTTGTCCTTGTGTGGGTCATCCTGACGCAGTTCGGCCCAGCCAAAGGCACAGTGTGTCATTATTTGTACCATATGTTCCATTAATTTTTCTGAAGGTCGTCGCTTCCGCTGGACTGCGGGTGATTATTTAATCCTCGTGGCTACACCCAGAAAAATTAATGTGTTATATTGCCTGAATAGTGACACACTTTCTTACACACAGTACGAGCAGAAGGCGGACGCATCACTGCTAAGTTTTTATCTCCGGACAACAATGGGTCAGAAAGACCCACATAAGAGCGAAAAGTGCAATGATATTTGGATCAAATGTTGCTATTCCACTGACCGTACACTCATAGAAATCAGGGTGAAATTTTTATAATAGCGATGTCCTCCTGTGGGTCACCCTGATACATTTTTTTGGCGGTAAAAGCCTGTATTTTCTACGCTACAGCATGAAATGCGTCACTATTAGATCAATACAAACCATACATTTGTTTGAGTGTGCGTATGCGTGTTGAAGGATCGTGACCGGTGCTACCGGATACACGTTGCCTATATAAACTGCACTGCCTTGCACTGCTCAGCACTGTGCAGTGAACAACCGTATAGGTGATGCTCAGAGCTTAGATGCATACTTAATATTACTTTAAATACATATACTTTGCATACTTATACTCTAATACTCATTCTTTAAATACTTATACTAATACTCTGCAATATTATTGCATTGCTCTGCACTGTGCAGTGAACAGCCGTATAGGTGATGGTCAGAGCTTAGATGTATACTTAATATTGCTTTAAATACTTATACTCTGCATACTTATACTCTAATACTCATTCTTTAAATACTTATACTAATACTCTGCAATATTATTGCATTGCTCTGCACTGTGCAGTGAACAACCGTATAGGTGATGGTCAGAGCTTAGATGTATACTTAAAATTACTTTAAATACTTATACTCTGCATACTCTAATACTTATTCTTTAAATACTTATACTAATACTCCGCAATATTATTGCACTGTTCTGCACTGTGCAGTGATCAACCGTATAGGTGGTAGTCAGAGCTTTGATGTATACTTAATATTACTTTAAATACTTATACTCTTCATACCTATACTTATACTCTAACACTTATTCTTTAAATACTTATACTAATACTCTGCAATATTATTGCACTGTTCTTGCACTGTGCAGTGAACAACCGTATAGGTGGTAGTCAGAGCTTTGATGTATACTTAATTAATATTACTTCAAATACTTATACTCTGCATACTCTAATACTTATTCTTTAAATACTTATACTAATACTCTGCAATATTATTGCACTGTTCTGCACTGTGCAGTGAACAACCGTATAGGTGATGGTCAGAGCTTAGATGTATACTTAATTAATATTACTTCAAATACTTATACTCTGCATACTTATACTTATACTCTAATACTTATTCTTTAAATACTTATACTTATACTCTGCAATATTACTTTAAACAAACTTTATTGATGCCGTTATGATTACATCTGTAAAACTACTAAGTTTTTTGTTTAAATATTCGTTGTAGAATTCTATATTAACTAAATTATATAGATTGGACTTTTCATTGCAGCTCTAAACATTAATTTCAATCTGAATAATTAATGTTCATCAATATATGATTGATTGGTATTTAGATGAATTATTATTGTATAATGTGAATACGTTTACCTCTGTAACACGATCGCTTATGCAAAACATTTATTTGTTCATTAGAACAAGCTAATTTTTGTAAAACAACAATAATGAACGTGTTAGTTAAATATTTATTTTGTGCAAAAAGTGGCTTAAACCTGAAAATTAATTCAGTATTTCCCTAAATTATTTTTCAAGCAATATCATAACATCATTCACTGATTTTTTTTAAATTCATTCAAAATATCCGTAAGAAAATTCAAATAAACTAGTGTAAGGAGAATTCAAACTCAAGTTGAATACGGAAATTTCAAGTTAAAGTTGCCTTACCACAGAAATAAATAATTCATTTTATTAATTATTCAAAATATTTTTAATAATTTCCGAATGTAGGGGGCAATTTAATTTGTTGTAACTTCTCATTTTCACCACATTACAAAAGTTAACTTCACATCGTACAATTCCTTATTGTTGTACATCTGGGCAACATTATTTATGCTGTGTCAGCAAACTATTTTTTATTTGTTATTTATAACGTGTCAGCAAACTATTTTTTTATTTTTATTTTATAATTCTTAATATATTTTCCCGCCAGAATATATAATTCTTAATATATTTTCAGCAGATCACCGGAAATATATCCAGGTCAGGAAATACTTTCCAGTCATGGGACTAGCGGGACACTTGGTGCTGCTGGCGCTGACCGCGACTGTACTCATGAGCCAGTACAGTCACGCGCACAAGGAAAAGTTCTTTCTGCGCTACGCCAAAATGAAGGTAATTTGAAGCTCTAGGTTATTAATATATTCCTTGTTTGGTCTTTATTTAGCGATTGATTAACCGCCCTCAAAGTTATTCTTACCTGGAGGCCTAATAACGATATCGGACTTTAAATAAAAAACTATTCAAATGTATTCAAATGAATTAATTGTTCCCGATACTATTCGTACCGAAAAGTCTTAACATTTGCATCAGTAGACAGAAGGTTCAAGAAATAATAAATATTATCCTTCTAATATCTTTGATTTTTTCACCATCTTATAAATGTTCAATGACCTGATGAGGGAGTGGGGCACCTGGATGCAGGAGAAGATACAGGCCTGCCCCTCATCTCTGAGCACCCGGCGCAGGAGGAGTGATGATGGTAGTGATGAGGACCAGAGTGTGGAGGTGAGGTGATGATGGTAGTGATGAGGACCAGAGCGTGGAGGTGAGGTGATGATGGTAGCGTTGTATACACCATAATTCAATACTTTTTGTGATGCCGTTTATTATTTCTAAATGCTAGAGAAAACATATATATAAATATTTCTACTATTCTGACTCCGGATATAATTGTTTCGTCACTTATCGCAACAGGTATCATTTCGTCGTCATTTATTCCAATAGGTATCATTTTATCACCAAATCTAAACGTACCATTCTATCATCACCCAATCTAAACGTACCATTCTATCATCACCTAATCTAAACGTACCATTCTATCATCACCTCACACTTCACTACAGGACCTCCGCTCGTCGCTTCTCTCGCCCGCTAAGAAAGAAATTCTGCAGGCGAGAAAGGCGCGTAAAATGCAACTCGTCGGGTGTGTTGTGAACGCCATGAATATCGTGAGTAATATTTATAAAATAAGTATTAGTATAAAATAAAGTATTAGTATTATTATTAGTAAAAGTAAAATAAATTTCTATTGTATCTTCTTATTAATGTTTCTATCCTTGTTATAAAATTTTCATGTAATTATTATGTAATTAATTTTTTTTGCCTAATTTTCAATCGTGGGTTCAAATAAATTATTTTTAATAAAAAAGGTTAGTAAATTTCTATTTTATATTGATATCCGTATTTCTATCTGTATTATAAATTTTTTATTTTGTTATTGTGTTATTTAATTTTCTGTTCATTAATTTAGAAATTTAATGGTAATTTTAAAATTTCACGAAATTAAATGTGATATAATGACGTTTTCGATCTATATAGGAAACCTTTAATTTAATTTAATTTATGTCTTTTTACAGTTTATTGTATGCAACTAAGTTCATTTTATCTGATAATTTTGACAATTTTTGTTAATTTTTAGAGACATGGCTAACAGGAAATATCCCCTGACTTTTTAATAATTTTATAATTATTAAAAACTTTTTAATAATTTTTCATTTAGGGCAGAGCACTTCGCTTTACAAGTTAAAAAAATGCTATTTTTACTAAAAACTGCTTTGGGGACTCGAATGAAAAAGAAAAAATTGCATTTTTTAAATCAAACTAAACGAATTTGCATGTACAGTTTATGTTGGCACAGACACTACTGCCTGACATACAAGAACATTATCTACAGTTTTTTCTAAATATTTAGTGATATAGCGCACAGAACATATATCCCATAGCTATTTTTCAACAAATTTGAATGTGTGTGTTGATAGAGAAGCGGCTGCCTGACAACAATAGTGATATTACAGCATACAGCAACAATATCTACATTTTTTGGTTAATCTCTAGTGATATTGAGTACAGAAAACAATTCCCGTAGCTGTTTATTAACAAATTTATATGCGTGTGCAGACGCTGCTGCCAGACGGGACGGTGGACACAGAGCCCATGGTGTCGTACCTCTCCTTGTATAACCTCGACGCTGAACTGCTCGCTGATTTCACAAGTAGAATCCAGAAATGCGGCAGCAAGAAGGTTAGATTTCAAAGTATTCATGAATTATTCAGTAAAAGCAAGTAGGATACATGTGTATATGAATACCAATATATTCTCTTGCTTATAAAGGTCTGGCAGCAGATATCTCTCTTGTCAGTCATTGAGTATATCAATTATTATTATTTACTTTAAAATTTACACCGTGACACCCAAACTTGGTACTTACATATAAATAATAATTTGAACATAATTCGCATGAAATACTTACAATATTTGTAAAATTATTTGAGTCGATTCCTGTTACTTGCGAACTCAAATATATTAATTAATGCAATAGTTATAAAGTTCAAGCAAAATATTTGGTGTCGAGCTTAATGAGTGTTGGGGGACGAATACCGTTTTATTAAACAATCATATTGAATTAAATAGTTGAACCCTAACAAGGAAATATCGCTTAATTTAATCAAATAATTCATTTTTAGATTCCGGACGCATGTCGTCGTTCCTCGTCGGCGCCCGTTGACGCTGCAATGGCAACGAAGATGTCGTTCATCAAGTGTAAACTGAAGGCAAGACTCGACGCTTGTGTCGTCAATGACGTGAAGAAAAATGTGGATAAATACAAGCTTAATGCTTTCGAGGAAATGATGAACCTGTATCATAGTCGTCATGATGATAGCGATGATCATCTCGACCTGTACAGTGATGAAGATGATGGTTAATCAACTGGAGATTCTCGACCTGGATTGAAATGATTACAGTAATGAGGATGATGAAATATAGACTGGATATACTTGGAACTGATTGAAACGATTTAAAATACCTACCTGAAATAACCTACACATTTTTTCAGTAGTCGTCTGGCCTGATTACAAACTGCCAAGATAACCTACGAAGAACGGCCTTTTAATATTTCCTTCTTTTTAAATAGACAATGTCGGATAGTTGCTTAGAAATTGGTGTACTTTGAAAATTGTGAATGAATAGGTTTTAAATCCACTTAATTAGAATAAAATAACAGCGAAAATATGTGCAGATGATTCAAATAAATGGACAAAGCCATTAAAAATGATAATCAATAGTTAAGTAAGTTAAGTTTAAGTTAGTAAGTTTGATAGTTTGACCGTATCCCTAATTTCAGCAACAAGTTCATTGAATGTATTCTAACACTTCTAAAGTATAAGGATCCTAAACCGTTTCACATGTGAGATAAAATTTTCCTTTTTGGATAATGGAACTAAACTTTGACAAGCTAAGACAAAAAGTAAAAAATAATGCTTGAACATCAGAGTTTTATGTACTACACGCAGAAAATTTATTAAAATATTCATTAAATTTAGTACATAAAACATCTGAGTTTTATGTACTACACGCAGAAAATTTATTAAAATATTCATTAAATTTAGTACATAAAACATCTGAGTTTTATGTACTACACGCAGAAAATTTATTAAAATCGTGCTATGTAGTATTGACATTTCGTTGATTTTATAGCACTATTTTTTCTATTGTGATGTTTTTACCATACATGAAAAGTTATTTTTCTATAAACAATATGGGGCGGCGCGCACTTATTAAGTGTTAGGTGCAACAAAAAATCATTAAAAAATGTGCTCTCTTTTGTAGCATTTTATTGACCTGAGCCTTCAAAAAATTACGTACATTCACCGTAGAAATTTTAAAAAAGTTCATCACTCCTACATTGAAAAAATTTGAAAACAAGCAGTATACGTATATATTAATATATCCTCCAAGCAAAATGAGAAATTAAATGAATTTTTGCTTTCGAAAAAAATGGTTCTTTAATCTTGAGTATTAAAATAGTTTTTTTTAATCTCTTTTGAGGACAAATTAATTTCTAATTGAATAAAAGAAGCAACGAAACAAGTAAACGACCTTAATCATGCTAAAAAAAAGTATTTTGATTTTGCTAAAACTTCGACTAAAATTTCTAGTAGAATTTTGTGCGAACGTCAAAACCTCTGCCGAAATTCGCTCGACTTTGGAAGCGGAACGAAAAATTACTTTTTTTTCGGAGCGCGATATTTCTGCGACAGGACTGGAAACTTTTGCATGTAAATTGAAATTGGATGTTGAAGGAGCGTAGCCGACGTTGGAGCGACATATTGTGATAAATTTGGTCTGGTTTATGTACTTGCAGTTTCCTTAGGGATTTAGTTTTTCCTGTTTATTTGAATTTTCACGTTTTTATCATATTATGAAAGGGAATATTCACGTTTCCGTGTTGCTAACTTTTCCAAAATATATATTTTTTCCTCAAAGTTCATTAGATAAATTCGGTATCCACGCGAAATTTGTATTTTGATTTTGTAATTTTCATTACTGCAAATCTCTAAGAATCGCTTGGATTTGATCAACTTAATTGAAACGTTTTATTTTATTTTTTTTTGTTCTGAACTTGCTTGGTTTTCATTACCTTCATCCACTATTCTCATTTCATTTTTTCACGAACCATATGCATTTTTCCTTTCTTCACACCTCTTTTTCTATGTTGCCTGAGCGAGTCACGTCAGCAGTGTGTGTTGCCATAACAAATCTCGGCGGAACTTCAACATTTTTTTGCAACAAGTACTTAGACAATGTCAAATATTGAAGAAAATATGATAAATAACGATAAATGTCAACTCATGTAGAGAAAGGACAAGCTGAAATAAGATTTCTTCGAGCTCGACAAAGCTAACCGCAAGTAGTTTGCAGGCGGCGTCGGTTTTGACCACATGTAAGTAAAATGTTGGACTCGAAAATTTAAAATTATTTAGAATATTCTACGAAAGTTATCATTTTCTCGTCAAAAGTATAATCGCATGCAGTTTCAAGAAATTATGCAAGCGGTCGGAAATTTCGTTTCTAGTTCGAATTTTGCGAATTGGTTTGATGATCCAGGTGATTACAAGACATCGCTTGAAGTTTCAGGAGATTCTAAGTTATCATTTAGAGTTACATAGAGATACCATTTATCATTTGGAGATTCTGTTATCATTTGGAGACTAAGAAGATACCATGTTATCACTCGAAAATTCACAAGATTCCAAGTTATCCCTTAGAGTTTCAGGAGATTGATAGATGACTTGTTTGACAGGTGACTCTGTTGACAGATGACCGTTTGACATTTCCAGCTTTTCAAACGAAGTTTTGAGTTTTCTTCGTAACTATCGATAGATTTTAATTAATTTTTTAAATTCTTTAAGATAAATGTATATATATCAACGCGACATTCACTTTGCTAGACACAAGATTACTTGTGTTTACCCTCATAAACATTTATAAGCCGCACTGGTCGTTGATAAACTGCATAGGAAAATGATGAACTGCAGAAGATGACGATAAATCACAGAGTATGTTGAACCACATGCGATGAGGTAAAAACATGGGACATTGTCCAAATAATGACACGCTTTCTTACCTACCACGCGAGCAGATAGTGGACGTATTTCTGATAAGTTCTTTCGTGGGTCAATTTTTTTCCGTATGACCCTCATTGGACAAAAAAAATGCATTGATATCTGGACAAAGTGACCCTCATTCCTCTGAGTGTTGCTGGGACGTTGAAGTACGCAATAGTATTTAATTTTATAGACCTTGATTTTATAGGACCTTGACTCAGGATAATAATAAATAAAATGGGACTTCGATAAATTACAAATAAAGATGGTAAACATAAAAGGAATATTTTTTACCTAGAAGAATTTTTGGCTGGATTATATAATGGCAAATTACAAGAGAATATGATGAACGACCTGGGATAATGATAAACAATGAGGTTCGGTGATATTCAATATAAAGGATGATAGTAGAACACATGGAACAATGATGAGTCATATAGAACGAAGGTGAACTACCGAGCACGGTTGTGATTAAAAAAAAAACACTTTCAACCGATTTCGATCTCCATGCTGGAGATCGAAATGAAATTTTTCCTCCCAATCACGAAATTTCTCCATGAACAAGTGTGCAATTCGATAAACATTGATATGATTGATCATTTTCTCTATGGTGCATAAATGTCTTAAATGAGATTTATCTTGATGCAAAAAAATACCTAAAAATTGTTAAATCTGCTTAGAATTCAATATTAAATTTTTTATGCTTTGTCGGAGTGATGGAAGCATTAGTATTTAATATTTACGTTTTTGTCCTTTTGTAGAGTCAAGATGACATTGCTGATGACAATCGTTGGTGTTGCTGCGATAGCTTCTACCTGCGCAGCGACCTCTCCTCTGTTCAAGCCTCCCGTTCTGACTTTGAGTAAGAAATAATACAATGATTATCGTTTTAAAAAACAAAAAAAAAAAAAAAAAAAAAACAGCTCAATAGGGTAGATTAATAATAAATTAGAAATTTCAAATTCAGCTATGTTCGTAGAAGCAATTAATCATTATTTTTTAATTTGATGAATATAAATATGAAATTACCACCTTATATAATTCAACATAGAACTATTTACCTATACTTCCGATCCAGTACTTTAGAGTTTCTTCACTGTACATTCTAAAACATCCCGTTGATATACAGATTTTTCATTTGTCTAAGACGCGACTTCTTTTATATATCATTTATAGTGACTTTTAAAATTGACACTCATCTTTCTTTTGTCTCATAGAGCCACCTTTTGTTACAGTCGCTGGAGATATGCTCCCACAATCCAGCGATTTTCAACAGGAAACAACAAAAAATCACACCATTGAAGCGAGACAAATTTCCAACACCCCTGAAACGCTCCAGCGGAAACCTGCGATGGTTCCAGAAATCTGGAAGACATTGTTTCACCAGGATATTTGGGAGACTTTAAGTGCAAATGAGATCTGGAGGATGGTCCGATCGGATCCAAGTTGGAAGAGTGTGTCCTCTGATGTAATCTGGATGGCTTTGAAAAATGATCCTGAATGGAGGGATCTCAGCTTGGATGAGATCGTCAGTTTCGTTACCCAAGATCTTTCATTGAATCAGTCAGACCTCAATAGCCTTCGCCGGCTGCTAAAAAATTTTTCGGACCGCGTCGGCGCTCGACAAGGTAAAAATTTACGTTTGCCAAAAAATCAACTTTAAATGACTGGTATTGTTTTTTTTTCTCCAGATAAAATTATTTTTCCTATGACAGTAGGATAAAGTTTTTTCATGAGAATTTCAAAGACAGCGTCAAATTTTTTTTCTGGTGGTGTACTTATCTATTTCTTGTTTCCTATAAATAATTACCATTTATTTATAGTAATTTTATTTACTCCGTTGTTTTTTTTGAAAATTATAAGCTCTGCAGAATAACTATAATCCCCCTGCGATTCGAAGAATTCGATCTTAAATTGTATTCAAAATTGGGTGTAATGAATCACAGTCACAGTAACACATCATCGTATTTTTCGAGGCAACAATTTCTAGAATTATAGTTTGCGATGAAAAATGGGAGCCCTAAACGATACCAATGAGAAGGGTTTCCATGGTTGAAACCATGGAACAAGGGGGTTTTCGGGCTTTTAAAACCAAAACCCATGATTTTGAAACCATGGGACAAGGGGTTTTCGGGCTTTTAAAACCAAAATCCATGGTTTTAAAACCATTGGAACAAGGTGTTTTCAGTCGATTCAGAGCAATCAACGACACATGACATTGTCTATTGTGACATCTTTCACTTTTGTCTGGTAGACGTTTAGCTTAATTTGAACACTACATCATTAAATATAATAAAATAACTTTATTTATTTACATCTTTAAAGAAGTTTATAAATTTTACAGAAAAATATCCGGAGTCTGAAGACCTTCCATCGCCAAACTTGGAATCTCGGAACGCATTCCTTCCGTCAAATAAGAGTCCTGAGTATGTCCGAAACAAATTGGGCTCTAATAGGCCCCAATCACGAATTTTGCCTCCTGGCCGACAAGAAGACCATGAAAATTCCCAAAGTATTTACTTTGGTTCCTCAGAAGAAGACGATACTATATTCACCGGCTCAGATGACTTGAGAAGTTCGCAGGCACGGAACCCTGGGCCAACAAAAATGACTTATGAACATCCACTGGAAGATGATTACTTGACTCACCCTAAGTTACCGCCTGCTTCACCAGATGTGAGCTCTGATACCCGCAAGAATTTCATGAATTATGCTGATACAGCGCCTATGACGCCGAATACCTTTGGATCATCTAATGTCAGAACTCATAACTTGTATATCGATGTTGTGCCACACAAGAACCAAGACTACACGCAGCCAGAAGAGGATTCGCAAGAAGACCATCATCCAGAGGTGGCCAGAAGGCCACCTCCAAGTAGTGCTTTTGACCCTACAATTAGTAGACAATCGGGAACTAACAGGAATTTTGAAGAACCAAACGGTCAGTTATATAATCCTTACCCTAATATAAAACCCCCCTCAGCAGCTTTTGACCATGAGTCTAGCGATGGTCATTTACCAAACCAATATTACAGCCAGAATCCTGTGGCACCGGCATCAAGTGCAGGTCTACATCAGGATTTCAGTCAAGATAGCCCGAGAAAACCAGCACAATTATGGTACGATCATCGCAGTGACTACGATCATTCACCACAGAAGGACGAATATCCCGTAGACGATTTCACGAAATATCCCAGGCGTGGTTCACAAGGCCGAGGCGCGGAAATCGCTGCATCAAGGCAATTGAGAAATCATCCCGAACACCGGACAGAGGACGATTTCCATCAAGGAAACGACCACGACACGGATCAGAGTGAACTGCGATTTGCGATTTCCATGAATCCTGATGAAAATAAATCTCGGTTTGCAGTGGAAACTAAACCCAAAGTCGCCAACCCGCACGTTCAACAATTCCAAGATTTCCATGATTTTGATTCAGAGCCACAGGAGGAACCCACCGCCAGAGGAGATCCTGTGAAGCTGGGACAAACCCTACAACCGGCAGAACATTCCTATTAAGACTTACTTGGACTCGATGCATTGAATCAAAGACCATGTTGAACCGTTTAAGACAACTAACCAAACAGTTTACAGTAGATGAAAAATTTAGCATCCTTGTACTGACTATTAAGTGAGAAACTTATTTCCCAATGTAAATTATCATGAGACTAATGACATCATGAAAAAAGTTTGGTAGATTACTAATTGAGGTAAACTTGGTGACACAAGTGTAATGTATTTTAAAAACTATTTCAAGTGATTGCTAAGTAAAAATGCAGAAACTACTGTGTGTAAATAGGATACAAAAAATCAAACTCACTGAAAAAGGCCTCCACAATTGAACATAAATTTCCAAATGCTGGATCCGAAATTCAGCCAATTATTGATCAATATAAGCTGCGTGATTTTGCAGTGATCCGAAATTTCTCTGGTTTTAGTACGCCTTCTGAAAATTTTCTAAAACGTGGAAAAGATCGTCTCATTTCTCAATGTTCCACAGTGCGATGACAGGAAAGCCTAAAGGCTTGTGATTGTATGCTTGTAAGATACGCTAATCTCACAAAAAATGTCGTCGAAGAGTAACCGTACCGGAAAGTCTTCTGATGAAAATGTTAACGATACTGAATAGGACTTCGAAGAAGGAGAAAGTTCGACCAGCAAATCATCGGATGAATTCAAGCCCGGTTTGGGACCAGGATTATAATTTCCGGCGTTGATAATGAAAAGACTATCAAATGATCAATTATTTTCGAAGACAAAGTCCAGCCAGCACGACTCCGTTTCTAAAGAAGCGACGAGCAATACGCGCCCAGAAAACAGCCAACGGTAATCGGGTAGCAAAGATTTGTAGATTTAACGAGAAAATGGATCAGAAAAATTTCAGAGACACATATCGGGATCTCTCGAGCATCCTCTAGTAGTTGATTTGAAACAGGATCCTTCAATCAAGAGTGATCAAGATCAGCACGTTGCAAGAGATCATAATGAGTCTTGTAGTTCCTGCTTTAAACATACACGTAGTGGGGCTGTTTATGGAGCACGATGCTTAGAAAGTCGGTATAAGTCTCGTTCACCTATTAACTTCCATGAGTAAGATGAAAGACAAAATTCATTGAACTAGATACCGGAAAATGCATCAGAGAATCCTGGAGGAACGAAGCCTATAGTTGAAGAATAAAAGAGCGGGACAAAAGATGTTGAGATAATAAGGGAAAAACAATAGTCCTCCAGCTGCCTCAGCGCAAATTTGACTAATGTGTTACCGGAGAATTAATAATCCAAAATAAATATTCCTGCAACTAATGATTCAGGATATGAAACCGGCTCCCAAAAATTCTTTCAAAATATAATTACGGCCAGACAAAACTCTCCGTCACTAGTGCCCGATACTTCATTTCGCGCGCCCGCTGCGGTTGAAAAGAATCCAAGTTCTTCAATAGGGTCGGAAAAAATCCCAAGTCCAAGTGAATGTAAAAGCAAAGGTGTTTTTGCCAAATCTGGTCAAAATAAGCCAGGACCGTCCAATCCATGCGAGATGGGGTCATTGAGGCCATTGTTCCAACCGACGCGTTCACAGTTCTGGACCGAGAGGCCTAGTACGTCTACAATGATTCCAGAAAGCGACATCGATAACGATGACCATAAAGCGTTAAGTATTCATCAAAATATTATGAGACCTGAGAATTAATTTACGAAAGAGAACTCCACGTTTTCACTTACGAAGAACTCTCAGGGAGGCCTTCTACCAGCAGACGACTATACAGAATTTAGTGACGATTCTTCCGGAAGCCAGAGCCAACCATGCACATCCCGCGAGTCAAGAAGCGAACGTAAAGTTGTCGGTATTGGGAGTAAAGCACCGCGAAAAAATATTAGGAGTACCAAAATCGACCTCTCACTGCCTATAGTGCCGACCCAAATTGTTGCGTCACCGCTTCAAACAATGTGGAAAATTATGTTCGGCGTTCTCAGAGTAAAGAATATTCTCGTCATCAGTCTTTTGTGCTTCTTTGCGTTGTGTGGTTTCTTCATTCCGTCGGAGTATGGACCAATGGAAATGGGAAATACAGAAAACACTGATGAATTCACAGAAGAATTTAATCCAGAATTGGGCAATATTGTCGAAAATCAGTAAAATTACCGACATGGTGATGAATAAATACATGCATTTGAACCAGACGAGCCTTCCAAAGCGCAAGATTTGCCTCAATAGCAGGCGAGTGGGAATACGCCCGAAAAATATTTACCACCGATCAACATTAAAATTGAGATGAAGTAGTGTGGATCGCCCTTGAACTTTGCTGCCCATGATTTCGAACCTAGGTCGGAAAAAGTGTTGGCTGGTAACTAGTAATTGAAGGAGAAATTTTAACAAGAAAACTGCGCATCTGAAAATCGTAACCATGTTCATGAACAAGCAGAGGAAAGTAAATTGAAAATTTAAGGAGGTACGAATGGTTACCAGTAAACTATCCCCCATAAATGGGTACCAGAAGACCATCCCCATAAAATCCCGGTGACTGGAAGCCAAATTTGGAATGGAGATGAAAATGAAATTGATGTTCCCATCACTGCATAGGTAGATCAAGATGACAACCATCGATCGGGAAAATTCAAAGCCTCTGCCGGATAATAGTAATAAAGCGAATATATCTCTCACTCGACATCGCAGCGCCGAGCGTAAAGTGACATTTCAAGTAACGATAAAAATCAAGCTTCGTCATAACTACAGGCTCAACTCTCTGTCGATTAACGAAACATGTTTCAAAAAATTTCGAACGAAGACTACGATGGACATAATCGTCTTGATGAATTAAATTTACGTCCAACCAACATAAAAACTGAAAACAATCCTGAATTTTCGACAGTAAAGAACCTCGTGATGAAGAAGTAATCGTAACGGATACTAGACGACTAGACAAATTTGATGAATGAAGGGAAGAAACTTAGAATTTTGATTCCTGACTAAAGACGATAAAATTAATTACGAAATCCCGAGCTTTTATCTCCATAGGAGGATAATAGTCAAACTGTAAGCAAGTTCGAAAGTAGGACAAATCATGCAAACTTTCCAACTATGAATTCTAGAAAATTCAGTGATCTTTAATAAAAACGAAAACAAATGAAAAAGCGCGGCATTGAACTCTCAAGGAACAAGCGCAGTATGAGTAATAATTCGAGTTTAATTTTTGTTGTGTTGATGATACTTGCATTTGTGTTCATTTTGCTGGCCATTGCAAGGAAAAAACTGTTCTGAAAATCTCGTAAAATAAACTAGCTGACTGAATCAACTGGCTAACTTTTCTCTGCCATGTAAGGTTGTGAAAAACCTCAATATATCGTATAATAATGAATTAAATTTTTGATTCAGTGTTACTAACTGCGGAAAGCAAATGATTTAAATCAAGTTAACAATTTTTAGTGCATTGCTTTTGAGCAGTCGTTTGACAATGATTAGCAGAGAAGTGATTAGATGTTGACCGCAGCGTGTTTAACTGTTAACGTGCAGATATGAGGTTAGGGGGGGAGAAAAAAAGCGTAGTGACATGGTGGGGCAATTGGATACAGTCTAATGTGTACAATTATAATTAGAGTAAGTGTACAATTATCGCAGTGTATATAACCTGCATGTTGCAGGTTATGGAGAGAGGACAAGGTTTTGGGCAATCTGCATGTTTTAAAGAAAAAGACAGGTTGAAGATTAATGATCGGGTTGAATATTGGGAAGGACAGTTTGAAAAGAAATGCGCAAACTGTAAAGGGAAGAACCGGTTGAGATGAATGTCATAAATGTTTTGTACTATTTTATAAGTTAAATAAAAGTCAATTACAACCGTTTTTGAGTCCGTGAAAGTAAGTTAGATAAATAATCATCAAGAAGAAAGAAAAGGACAGGTTGAAGATTTATGATCGGGTTAAATTGGGAAGGACAGTTTGAAAAGAAATGGGCAAACTGTAAAGGGAAGAATAGGTTGAGATGAATGTCATAAATGTTTTGTACTATTTTATAAGTTAAATAAAAGTCACTTACAACCGTTTTTGAGTCCGTGAAAGTAAGTTAGATAAATAATCATCAAGAAGAAAGAAAAGGACAGGTTGAAGATTTATGATGTGTTGAATTGGGAAGGACAGTTTGAAAATAAATGGGCAAACTGTAAAGGGAAGAATAGGTTGAGATAAATGTCATAAATGTTTTGTAATATTTTATAAGCTAAATAAAAGTCACTAACAACCGTTTTTGAGTCCGAGAAAGTAATTTAAATGAATAAATCAATCAAGCACCACGCACGTGCATGCAGTTCTGAGGTCACGGTTAGCCGTAGTAGACACATTGCAATAAGAAAAATTTATACCGCGTGAACCATACATAAACGATCGCTACTTTAGTTAAATATTTTACTGCCTCTAAAACGTAATCCATCCACAGCTTTTTTTATTAGAAATTCGTAGCCAATTAAATAAACGAAATTAAATTTTAACAATATTAGTCTGCCAAACTCTCAACTAAACTCGAAACAAAGTTGGCGTAGAATTGAATAGAACAGCATGTCACACTATAGGAATTGGAACTGACCTCTTTTCAAGACCTTTAATTAGATCTGTCATACACGTGGCAGGAAAATATTTTGCTAAGGAAAAAAAACATAAGTTCGTGTCGCGCCCGGCAGATAAAATTATAAAAACAAATATTCACAACGATCCTATGTAAAACATTCAGTTTAACATGTCAACATCCGAAAAAGACATGTAGAACAAGTGCACGACCGGCGGAGATGGTAGAGTGGAGGCACATATATAGCAGCCCGCACATGTACAACAAGTGCACGATCGGCGTAAGTGGCTTTCAGTGGAAGTACAGTGTTGCCTGCACATGTACAAGTGCACGACCAGCGAAGATGGCTTAGAGTGGAAGTACAGAGTAGCCTGTACATATGTACAAGTGCACGACCAGCGGAGATGGCTTAGAGTGGAAGTACAGTGTAGCCTGTACATGTACAAGTGCACGACCAGCGGAGATGGCTCAGAGTGGAAGTACAGAGTAGCCTGTACATGTACAACAAGTGCACAAACGGCGTAAGTGGCTTAGACTAGAAGTACAGAGCAGCCCGCACATGTACAACAAGTGCCCGACCGGCGGAGATGGCTTAGAGTGGAAGTACAGAGTAGCCTGTACATGTACAAGTGCACGACCAGCGGAGATGGCTTAGAGTGGAAGTACAGTGTAGCCTGTACTATCATTGAATATTACCTATTATTACAGAGCGAACTTTTATATTGCCCAACACTTTCATGTCGACATCATTAATAATTTTAGTTTGATTTTTACTGCCTACGTGAATTTTTTAAGATAAAATATTTTGGCTCTTGAACGTAAATGAAAAAAGTAATGCTTATTTAAATGAAAATGTTGATATCATGTGATGCTGATGATTTCAAATCTCATAGCCACCCAAAGAAAAATAACTTGGCAGTGAAAGGAAATATATAATTTTTGCAATCTTCGTCATGCTAATTAGGACATATGTTGGAATATATGAACTTAATATTTTGTTCAGCTTACTACCTTTACTGAGAAAGTGTGACGTCATTGTTGCACCATCATCACGCCAACATCACACATGCTGTGCATGCTATCACTGATTAGCATAAAGCTTAGCACTTGTATATGCGGGATCTATAATCCTGCAGCCAATGTATTTTTTTCGTTGGAGAATCGTATATACTCGTATATTTTATGTCTATATACTCGTGTCACTATCCCCATCACTGTCCTCTCACTATCCCCTCACTATCTCCTCACTATCTCCTCACTATCTCCTCACTATCTCCTCACTATCTCCTCACTATCCACTCACTATCCCCGCACTATACCTCACTATCCCTTCATTATACCCTCACAATCTCATCACTATCCCCTCACTATCCCTCACTATCTCCTCACTATCCCCTCACTATCCACTCACCATCCTCTCACTATCCCTTCGCTATCCTTTCACTATCCCTTCACTATCCCTCACTAGCTTATCACAACCCCCTCACTATCCCCACACTATCCCTTCACTATCCCTCACTATCTCCTCACTATCCCCTCACTATCCACTCACCATCATCTCACTATCCCTTCGCTATCCTTTCACTATCCCTTCACTTTCACTATCCCTCACTAGCTTATCACTATCCCCTCACTATCCCCTCACTATCCCCTCACTATCTCCTCACTATCTCCTCACTATCCCCTCACTATCCCCTCACTATCCCCTCACTATCTCCTCACTATCCCTCTCTAGCTTGTCACTATCCCCTCACTATCCCCTGACTATCCCTCACTAGCTTATCACTATCCCCTCACTATCCCTCACTAGCTTATAACTATCCCCTCACTATCCCCTCACTATCCCTTCACTATCCCCTCACTATCCCCTCACTATCCCCTCACTATCCACTCACTATCCCTTCACTATC